TGCGGGTCTCTCATGTTAAGGATGGTAAGTCCGATGATAAGATTGATCCACCTAAACAACCTTTTGAGCAATTGGCCACTGATGATGTTATCCTTGCGAAAGGGTCTGAGCATTTTGGAACGGAGATAGGTGGGGTTAAAACACATCATGTGGTTAGGGACCTTTACTCTGGTGCACGAATAGCATATCCCCTATCAAAAAGAGATGTTGAATCACATGCCAAAAACTTTCGACATTTCGTGGGATTGAAAGCCAATGAACTTGCCACCCACACACTTATCAAAATGGACGAAGCACAGGAATTGGAGCAGGCTGCCCATCAGGTCGGCTTCGTTCCTGAGACGTCCCTTCCCAACCGTTGGCCGCACAACGCTCTCCTAGAGCGCGACATCCGGGAAGAGAAAGAGTGTTGCAGGGTTGTTCACTTACAATCTGGTTTGCCTTATGAGTATCACACTTATAGTTACCCGTACGCATGTCTTTCCATGACTTTTGATAGACCTTCTATTGCGGACCCTGAAAAGACCCAATGGGAAGCTCTTACACGTGAAAAGTTTGATGGTAAGCGTTTGTGTTTTGGTCAACTTGTGTATTATCGCAAGAAGCATCCAACAAAAAGGACCTTAGAACCCAATATGGCTCCTGGTTTGTTTCTTGGTTGGCGAATCGATTCTGGTTTTCGTTATAGATATGTTGTTCGGATATTAGATTATCAAGAGTTTCGAACTAGAGGTGCTTCATGTGTTTCCGATGTACCCGAGCCTGAACTATACCTTCCAGATGGTGATGCCTATTTTCCCGTTGGTTTTTCGAAGCATCAGGCCTTAATCAGGGGGGATGATCCCGATGATGTTAAACTTCCTGAAATAGCCCTGCAAAATGTTCCGTTTCCACCAGACGGCGGTTTAGCTTCCCCATCTACACCCGGTCCCAAACCTAGATCGGTTTATATCACCTTAGACCGCATCATAAAGTTTAAGGAGACTCCCGGTTGTACAGGGTGTAAGAATAAGACTCGGTACCATAATGCAGAGTGCCGCAAACGGTTCCAGAAACTAGTTGATGAAGAAAAGGAGCTGGAAGCCAAGTCAAAGCCCATATCAGAGTCGGTAGTTGTCGAACCTCCTAGCGAAGTTCCCAGTGCGCTTGAGGATGCCCCCGTGGGACCACCACCGGAAGACGGCATATTTGATGATGAAGGTGAAATCACAATTGCCGTTCCTTATAGTGTCTCTGGTGCTGCCACTTTGCCCCAGACCGCTCCCAGCCGTGCTGAGCTAAGTAGGGATTCCTTGCCAGTGTTCGGTGCACAGCCCGTGCCTGCATGCCCCGCAGCTAATCAGCCTCCTAAGAATAACAATAATCGTCGTAAACGACGTGCCTTGAAGAAAAGCCAGAGATCCAATGAAAGATCAACACTGTTTGAGTTTGCATGTTCCCTCAACTCACAGCTTGGGTTGACAAGTGAACAATGTAACATAAATCACATTGGGTTATGCAAGGAAAGGATAGACTTAAGTGATGAGAATCAATGTTCCCAACTTGATTATAAAATAGGTGAAGCCGCAAAAGTTGCACCACCTAATCTTTGGTCGTCCATACCATGCACGTCTGGTTCACCTTGGCAGTATATCAATAGACGGAGGGGAGGAGCTGCTTACATGAAAAGATTAGCGCTCCAACTCCGAGAATCGAAACGACTTTTCAAAAGCTTTTCCAAAAGGGCAGAATTAGTTTTGAAACTAGGAGGCACTGTCTCTTTTGAATGGCCACGTCCCTCAACTGGCTGGAAGAGACCAGATGTCGTAGCGTTCTTTAATTCTCACCCTGAGTTTATGGAAGTTGATTTCGATGGATGTGCAGTAGGTCTTAAATCCAAAAAGGGTGTTCCCATCAAAAAGCCTTGGAGAGTCCGAACCACTTCCCAAAGAATAGTAGATGTTTTTAAGGACAAAAAGTGCAGTTGTGAACAGCCACACAAAAAGTGTGAAGGTTCGGAGACAGCGCGATCAGCTATGTATCCCCCAGAGATGGCATTTTTGATTACCCAAGCGCTGTACCCTGCTAAGTGTTCTCAACAACATGCTCCCGCAATGCCATGCGCTCCACTTTCAACCGAACCCCAAGAGCACCGCGAAGTTGAACAACATCTCAAACATGTGTCCCCACTAGCTGGTTTTGAGGATCTTGCAATTGCCATTGAAACAGATCCAACAGTAAACTGCTTAGTGTCGGAACTTTTAGACCATGAGCGTTTGTTGTCACAAGCCTTCGGGCATGAAGATAACAATGAACCCTCCAAAGAGGTTCAAGCCATGGTAACTAAGTTGCTTTCTAGGGCCGAGATGTTATCCAACCCCCAAGCCCTTGATGCTGTTAAGGCCGAGGCCGATGGACTCATCAAGGCGGGAACGTGGTCACTTGATTCCGTTCGGGAAAAGGAAGATGTTGGCGCCGAGGCCAAGCGCACCGGAGTGTCCGTTCATTTCGGGCAACTCATGACCATAGCATCCATTAAATTCTTCGAACTTGCGCAGCATCTACAAAAGATGAAGGGTAGGATCGTCTACCGAGGGGACTGCGCAAAGGATGAACATGGTGCTGCGGCGGTCTACCAGGAGCTAGGGGCAAACCCGACTTCGGTCCAAGGTTTAAATGCCTGTTTAGCATACGGTCCCCTGCCAGGTAATAGCTCATCCGCAGCTGATGCTGTTAAGGCTTACGTTCAAGCACTCCTGTCTTCAAAATATAAGACCTGGATAGAACTCCCGCCCGAGCTAAGACCAAAACACTGGCGAGATAAGTTTGTTAAACCCGTAGTCCTCCTAGTTAAAGCCTTATATGGTCATCCTGATGCCGGTGGCCTATGGGAGCAGCACCTTAAGAAAATTATCCGCAACCTAGGTGGCCAAGAGGTACCTGAATACCCTGGTAACTTCTTTTTCCCAGATACTAAGTTGTTACTTTCCACCTATGTAGATGATCTCACGCTTGCTGGTCCCACTGACCAACATGATGCCTTCTGTGCAAAGCTGACATCCGTTGTGGATATAGAACCACCTGAACCAATATACCGAATTTTAGGTCGCAATCATCTAGTAATGCCATTGCCTAAAACCGAGGGTTCCGAGGAATGTGCTGCGTTTCGCGCACAAGAAGCCTTAGTCTTTGACATGCTAGATTATGCACACCAAACAGTTGATCTTTATAAGTCCATCACCAACACCAAAAGTTTGAAGCATGCTGCCACCCCTTTTGTACCTGATGGTTCTGTCTCTATTGAAGATGAAGAGGCTAAAGGTGAACTGGCACCCAATGCATGCCGCATTCTTATGAAGGCGCTGTGGCTTAGTCGGCTGTCCAGACCTGACATAATAAAACCCATTAATGATCTAGCCACAAAAGTGCAGTCTTGGTCCAGGGGGGACGATAAGAGGTTGTTACGACTCATTCAATACATAGACTCTACACCCCAATACCGTCTAGTGGGTACCATCAAAGATAATCCCGAAGATCTTGAGTTACGTTTATATGTTGACGCCGATTTCGCCGGTGATCGTCTTAGTGGAAAATCCACGTCCGGTGGGTATTTAGTTCTATATGGGCCTAACTCCTTCTTCCCTCTTGCGTGGGTTAGCAAACGCCAAACATCCACATCCCGTTCTACCACAGAATCAGAGGTGGTTTCCTTGGCTTATTCCCTTTATCAAGAAGGCCTGCCGGCCCTACAACTATGGGAGCTTCTCCTAGGGCGCACAGTGACGCTTAGAGTCTTAGAAGATAACCAAGCTACCATCCTGGTAGTACGTAAAGGTTATTCCCCTAAGCTTAGGCACATCACTCGCACCCATAAAGTAAATCTGTCCGGCCTATCAGAAGTCTTTCGGGACGATTCCGCCGAGCTTGAATACTGTCAGACCGACAGTCAGGCTGCTGACATTTTTACTAAGGCGTTGCCACCCCAAAAGTGGGCCCCGGCACTGCGCTTGCTTGGCATCCGAGTAGACTTAGGTAGTGAACTAAAGTCCAAGGGAGGGGCAGCTGCCTAGCGCCCTAACTTGTACACTAGTTGCCAGCGTAGGATAGGGTAGGGGGGAGTAGAAATATTACGACCCCTATACCACCACTGTATATACTAGTAATAGTTCACTCCAAGCTGTAGCTATGACACCAACACTCCAATAGATTGTACAGTCATCTCAATGTCCATTTCCCCATAACTAGAAGCGTTAGTTATTGGGGTAGTAGCTACGTAGCGAGGTAGGATTAATTAATGTCTACCGACTGCATGGCTCAAGTATCTAGCACAAAATAGGTACTTGCTGATTTTGATGCAGGGGAGTTTAAACTGTTGTGGTTTCTTGTTTTTCCCCCTGTTTCTCTATCTAATGGCGTATATCACCAGCAATATGATATGTCTTTGTGTGGACGTTTGTGTGTCCAGAACCTGCGAATAACCCAAAAGGGCGATGTTTTATCGGGGAAAATAAGGACGATCATTACATATTGGGGCTACCCTAGTCTCCGACAAACCTAAGATCCTAAGGAAACTTGTTTGGGTTATGGCCAGTTGTTCATGGGGATATCCGCAAGGTGAAGGGAAAATCCAAGTGGCTGCGAGAAGTTCACTGTGACGGGATATTCTGTGTGGGTTTGGACATGTTAAAGCATTCTTATTCAATGAGATACACACCGTTTTGAGAAACATCGGATATTCAGAAATTGAGTTTAACCTTTTGCTGTAGCCTCTGGTAATCTAACATAGCTATTGAGCTATTGAAAATGGTGGTTTTGCACAGCAAACTGTTAGATTACCCACTCGGGTAATTCCCCTGAATATCCCTAGTTGTTTTCCATTAAATCAGTTAAATCACAACTCATCACCATAAAATCTCCTGAGCCCCCCATGATAATCCCCAAAAATCCCATTTTTTTTATCCCCATTCAACCTCCATGAAACCATGAAACTATGGAAAATCCACCATCAAATCCCCATCTGCAGGTGATGGGACAAGAGAAGAATGCTGCGCTGCATGGTTGGGCCGAACGTGCCTTGGCTGCCGGTGGGGAGAAGGATTGGAGGTCCATTTTTGGGGGCCCAGAAGGGGTAGACTAAAACTTCAGCCATTTTCTGGGGATATTTATGGGATATTTCTGGGAACATCATGGGATATGATTAGCGTTGACCCATCCTCACAGGCCGTGCACGAGTTGAAGAAGAGATCAGCCGCACTGCAGAGGTCGCTCTACCGATGTCCCAAATCACCAGAGGAGCTTTTGAGGAGTATGAAAGATCCTCATTTAACTGTTTCCTATGATAGATGATAGATGATTTCCTATTGAACAATGATTGTATGATAGTATGATTCAGTATGATAGATGATAGATGATTTCCTATTCAACTTGGGGACTTCTCATCCAATGTCCCATGTGTTCATCGTTAAATCGCTGAGACATCAGCATTTTTTCTTGGTGAAAGCACCCATTTTGGTCTTCCTCACAGGCCACTCGATTTCAATGCGTGAGGGACCTCAGTTAAGGCTTCAATCAAGTTTAATCCAGGCAATGATATTCATTTCATGGCTACCAGTGCAGCCATGGCTCAATAGTCCCGATCCGAAAGATGTTTTTTTGCTTATCCTCTAGGTGATATTGGGGGGGGCGTTTATTGTGGACGGGGGGTGAGATTATCAATTATCCAATTCTTAACCACTAGTGGTACAAAATTGTTTACCATCACTTTTCCATATCATGGTCCCCCATAGTTTGCTAAGTTGGTTTATGACTAGGTGCACGTTTGGATCTATTGGGTTATCTTCAGCAACTTATAACTTGGGGGCACCACCTTGTACCAATACATGACCATCCTAATTATATCATATTACATCATTATATATCAAATATAAAACCATATTAGACCATATTATACAACCATTAAGCCACTATTTCCATCTATTTCCCATCCATGTCCCAGATATTTCCCACATGGCCCTTTGACAAATCGACGGCTTTCTCTAGGCCCTGGTGGAACGACGATATGTTGAACCCCCGGACGCCTTGGAGGTCTGGGAAAATCATGGTTTTTTCGACCCGTTTTTTCATGGGTAAATCAACTAATGGCTGGTTGGTGTAATGATGGTTAATGATGGTTAATGATGGTTAATGATGGTTAATGATGGTCAATGATGGTTAATGATGGTTAATGATGGTTAATAATCACTGCTTGGTGGTGACTGGAACATGAATTTTATTTGGCGCGAGTAATCAACATATATTTGGATTCACCTGCAGCAACTGGGATGGAAATGGGAATTTTATATTTTCCCCAAGCAGGTTGGGATATGTTGGGATGATGATCCAATCTGACGAAGTCCATCATTTTTCAGGGGGGTAGGGGTTTAACCAGATTAATTAATAATGATCATAAATGTTAAATGTGCCATTTTCAATAGCTATCTTAGATTACCAGAGAGTATATGGATAGATGATAGATGATGATAGATGATGATGCTGTGGATGGTTGCGAAATCCTGCGCCGCCAAAAGGATGGTTTTTCAACTCGATGAATCATGGGATGTTTACCACCGGTCAACTGGTGCAGGATTTCGCTGGCCCATCCACTGTAGCTATGGAAAATAACCATCTTTAATAGGTAAATCAAGAATAAATAACTATAACATACCCGTTGAAATTTTTGTTACTAAATCTGAGGCCTCAGGGCCGTTACAGAATGGTTTTTGGCTACCATTTTGTGCAAAATTTTGACCCTGGGTTCTGCCATCTTGTAAGTGGACCCCCCCCTGGTACCGGAATTTTGCATTGGAAGTGCGAGTTTGTTACCCTCCAGTCCCGACCATTCTGTCGGAGTCTGGAGGGCTAATCAATAACCACTACAAATTGGATGGATTCAAAGCGTAAATGGATAATACTCAACTATAGCCCCTACAAACTGGATGGAATCAAAAAATCGCAGAATAATTTTCATAGCCTTGGGTGCAGGGCTTGGGAGAGGCCTTGAAAAGTCTGATGCGTCTGAGTGGTCATGAATGCTCGAGATGAGTCACATCTATTTAAATATATATATATATATGATACATATATATATATATAATACGATATTTATATTTTTTGATTATGACATCCAACGTTGGATTTAATGTTTAGCTTGGCCACTCAGACAGCGTCACGCCAAAACAGACGGATGAACGCAAAAGAACGGAAAAAATGAACCGCGACTCGGGTTGGCCGGGCTGTTGCAGGTTACTTCCCAGGGATCCTAGGATAGTGCGAGTATAGCCACCCCCAGTCCCCACCATTCTGTAAAGGGCAAATCGAGCCAATGGATGCGAGCGGATGCGAGTCGAGCAAAATCGGTGACTCATTTTGTAACTAGGGGTCAAATAATATATATATATATATACATATATATATACATATATATATATCGATATATTTATTTTTTTTGATTATGACATCCAACGTTGTATTTAATGTTTAGCTTGGCCACTCAGACAGCGTCACGCCAAAACAGACGGATGAACGCAAAAGAACGGAAAAAATGAACCGCGACTCGGGTTGGCCGGGCTGTTGCAGGTTACTTCCCAGGGATCCTAGGATAGTGCGAGTATAGCCACCCCAGTCCCCACCATTCTGTAAAGGGCAAATCGAGCCAATGGATGCGAGCGGATGCGAGTCGAGCAAAATCGGTGACTCATTTTGTAACTAGGGGTCAGATAATATATATATATATATATACATATATATATATAGATATATATATATATATAGATATATATATATATCGATATATTTATATTTTTTGATTATGACATCCAACGTTGTATTTAATGTTTAGCTTGGCCACTCAGACAGCGTCACGCCAAAACAGACGGATGAACGCAAAAGAACGGAAAAAATGAACCGCGACTCGGGTTGGCTGGGCTGTTGCAGGTTACTTCCCAGGGATCCTAGGATAGTGCGAGTATAGCCACCCCCAGTCCCCACCATTCTGTAAAGGGCAAATCGAGGCAATGGATGCGAGCGGATGCGAGTCGAGCAAAATCGGTGACTCATTTTGTAACTAGGGGTCCGATAATATATATATATACATATATATATATATATCGATATATTTATATTTTTTGATTATGACATCCAACGTTGTATTTAATGTTTAGCTTGGCCACTCAGACAGCGTCACGCCAGAACAGACGGATGAACGCAAAAGAACGGAAAAAATGAACCGCGACTCGGGTTGGCCGGGCTATTGCAGGTTACTTCCCAGGGATCCTAGGATAGTGCGAGTATAGCCACCCCCAGTCCCCACCATTCTGTAAAGGGCAAATCGGGCCAACGGATGCGAGCGGATGCGAGTCGAGCAAAATCGGTGACTCATTTTGCAACTAGGGGTCAGCTTGGACTGCCATTTTGTAACAAAAACCTTCCTCGGTGAACGTTGGGCTCTGCCAACTTGTAAGAAGGGCACCTTGGGGACGCCGTTCTGTAGCTACAAAATGGGGCTCCCAACCCCTCGGGTCCAATCTGAACGGGGATACTATAACTGTGCCATTTTCAATAGCTATGTTAAATTACCAGGGGTTAAACAATATGAGACTGATTCTGATAAAAGGTGTACATGAGAATACATGACAATAGATGACAATACATAGATGATAATAGATGAACATGGGAGTTTCTAAAATGAGGTACTGTATACTCCAACAATAATATAGATGATAGTAGATGACAATAGATTGTATAATAGATGATAATATTCAGATACATGGTGATATATGATATACAATTTATGGTGTAGTTTAGTTTAAATGATTGTCATGGTTGGATGTTGACAGGTTATTAGATGTTATCAGCATGTCATACCACTGGATGAAGACTGACGTTTGTGATTTTGGGACCATTTTCTAGACCTTGGCGGCTTGAAACCATGAATTTTGGAGGATGTTTAGCATCAACTGGCGGACATTCCCTTTTCAGGACATCGAAGCAACCGCAACATGCGAGGCGCAGTGGGATTTTTTCTGGATACAGTTGGGTAATGAGACATAACTACTGGATACTAATGGGAGATCCAGATGTGTACCACGAAAATCATCTATCAATATGCTGCATAGCAGGTGCAGAGCTACATTGTTTGTCTTTTCGAACCATGAAAAATCATGAAAACCTTGATTCGCTGGTAGAGGCAAGCGCATTATGAGTACCCCAACTAAGTGGCTGGTTGCAGGAGGAAGTCGCCGGAAGGTTGTCCAACGTGGTCAGGAACACGCAAAGGCGGAGCTTGGCAATGGAAAATCCATGGGAAAGATGGGAAAAATGGAGTTCTAAACCCATTACCCTTTGGTGATTTAACATAGCTATGAAAAATGGCCCATATAAATAGATAAAAATGATGACTTACCTATTTTAAATTGCGATTTTCCAGTTCGCAAAGCGTTGAATGTCCAGAGAATACTCGTTTGGTTGGGCTGATTGGTTGAGATGAGCGATTTTTTGAAGGGATTACAATGCAATATATATATAATATAATATAATAATATATATACGTATATATATATATATTATTATATTATATTATATTATATATTTATATTATATTATATATAATATTATATGATATATTTATATTACATTATATATAATCTTATTATATATATATATTTTATATTATATAATATAAATATATTAAATTATAGATAATATTGTATAGTATATTTAGAATACATTATATATAATATTGTATATAATATAATATTATATGATATTATATTATATATATATTATCTTATATATGATATATATATATTATATTATATATGATATATAAATAATACATTGTATATAATATATAGTATATAATATATATTATATTATATATATTATTATATATATATATCATATAGTACATATTTTATATATATTATATAATATATATATATTCTATTATATATAATTTAGATTACATGTATAATATATATTATATAATATATATATATATATAATATATATATAATATATATATTATTATTATTATTATTATTATATATATATGTTATTACATATAATATATTTTATCTAATATATTATATATACTATATTACATTTATAATATATATATAATAATATTTACAACATAAATAACGTATATAATATGTATAATATATTATATATATATACATTATGACCTTGATATCCAATATTCCCTAAAAATCACAAAATCCCCGGAGCTCGTGATTTTTTTATATATAATATTATTTTTTTATATTATATATTTAATATATTATATATATTGTATATATAATATAGATTATACGTATCTATCATATATATTGTATATATTGTATATTAAACATATATTATATTATATATATATATTTGTTATAATATATTATATATATATGTTATATTTTATATATATATAACAAATATATTATGATATATAGATAATATATATATATATAGATCTATTAGTATATATATATAAGTATATACCTGTAGTTTATGCCTACGGGTTGAAAAGCGAACCAGTGTTTTATAGGTTTTTTTGAAGTCTTCATATGATATAGTGGGGTGGGGTGGGGTAATAACGTACATGTTACGCTGCTGCAAGTTCTCTTGCACTTTCATATATACGTCATGCTACGCTGCGGCAAGTTCTCTTGCACTTCCATACATACCTACATGCTACGTTGCGGCAAATTCTCTTGCACTTTCATATATACGTCATGCTACGCTGCTGCAAGTTCTCTTGCACTTCCCTACATACGTCATGCTACGCTGCTGCAAGTTCTCTTGCACTTTCATATATACGTCATGCTACGCTGTTGCAAGTTCTCTTGCACTTTCATATGTACGTCATGCTATGCTGCTGCAAGTTAGTTCTCTTGCACTTCCATACATACCTACATGCTACGCAAACAAAAGGAATCAAGCACTTGTGAACAAAGAGTGAAGAGAAAAAATAGCGAAGGAAAAAAGTGGCCGCCGCTGTGGTTTTGACAGAAATTAAGTAAAAAGGGGCGCCCAACATTTCTAGAAAAAGCTCTGACGCCTTCACATGAAACAGTCAAAAAATGATGGTTTTTGTGGGACGAAAGAAAAGGTGAGAAACACAACCTATTGACACGTGGGTTCCATAAACAACCCGCCGGGTAGTTTATCTATCATTAGTATCAACCCACAATAGCTTACATCCCATAAAAGATGGAATAGAATGGGATATGTTCCCGATTTTCGGACAAGCCCACACTGTACCAATCGATTGGCGCCCATGAAGGTACTGGCTGGTGGTTTTCCAAAAATGGGTCAGTTTATAATTAGCCAACAACAATCATGAGGATGTAGTCAATTACATCCAACATATGGCTGGCGGCTGGTCTTGAAATGTTTGAAGATGTCTTAGTTTTATAGCTGTCCCCTGAGGAATGATGATCCCCACTTCATTTTGTTCAGAGGGGTCCGCGTGAGCTGGATTTCCTTGGTTTCTTCTTGTGCAGACGGGTTTTTTGTTTTTGGGGTACCCCGGTTTACTGGGAGCAGATTCCACCAAACATGATATAAACCCGTTCATTGGCTGTTTTCAGGCTCAGAAATTTGACCCATACCCGTATCATCTATCGGATTTGAGTTCAGGTCAAATTACTTCGAAGATGAGGGGTTTAAGGTTAAAGTGGCTTTGGAACTATCATTTTATCTATGTTATAGAATGTTGTTGTTTGTTACTAAATACCAATCTGACCATCAAAAAAAAACATATATAATATTATATAATTATCAATTATCCATGTTGGAATCACTATTCTAGACATACAATTATATGTGTATATAATCATAATAATTATGTATATATATATATAATCATATATACTGTATATATATATATACCCTCCAAAAGTAGTCATGTTTGCCATTTCTCATACTGTCCGTTCCTCGGCCGCTGGGCCTTCCAGGCCTGAGCCCCCGCGCATTGACGTGTCACAGCCGCAGGTTTTCTCGCAGGTGCCGCAGGGCCTAGTGGCGGGGTATCCCTAGTCCCAAGCATTCGGGGAACTAATGGGATCTTTCATGGTGATTTAATGGTGATTTAATGGTGATTTAATGGTGATCTGGTTGGTGATTTAATGGTGATTTAATGGTTATCTGGTTGGTGGTTTGGAACATGAATTTTATGACTTTCCATATATTGGGAATAATCATCCCAGCTGACGAACTCATATTTTTCAGAGGGGTTGAAACCACCAACCAGTGATTGTTTTTGCGTTTTAATGGAGGTCTAATGGGAATTTAATAGGCTTTAATGAGATGTTTATGGGAATGTAAAATCAAGCATGGCTAGCTGGGAAATCGCGAACTAAATGGAGGTTTATAGCTAGGAACAGCATATATCTGCATCTATCAAATGGTGGATTTTCCAGCAAACCATGTTTGATTAGCGGATGGTGTTGGTTTTAGGTATAATAAACCATGCATTTGGACAAATTTGATCCCGACTTCACGTCGCAACGTCATTGGACTCTATATTGGACTCTATTGGGCATGGGATTGGGGTGACGATCCGAAAATGGCTTAGTTCAGGTTATTGAACTCTTGCTGGTTGGTGGTTTGGAACATGAATCTTATTTTTCCCTATATTGGAAACAATAATCCCATTTGACTAACATTTTTCAGAGGGGTTGAAACCACCAACCAGCTTGTAATTCATTCTGAGGTATCTTAATCACTACTGTATAGTATACTGTAGCGAACAATCAACAGGGGTATTTTGAATGTCTCAACTGAGGGGTTGGATCATTTCGGTGAACAAACTTGATTTTCTTTTGCGTGGCATAGTGAATCAACTCACATCTATGATGTTGACTCATTGACAGTTAGGATTTCTTTATCAATCACTACTTCAAGATAATAAGTAAATAATAATAAATAATTCCCAAGAGTTGTTGGTTTCCAGTTCTTCCCCATCATTTCCCATCCTTATTTGGGAATGGGAATGGGCGGCCACCCGATGATTTTTTTCGTCTACGATGATGATTTTGGTGTGTTCAGGATCCCCCATCCAATCCCGGGCCCTGTATCCGGTTGGTGGCTTCAAATATTCACTGCTGGTTGGTGGTTTGGATCATGAATTTTATGACTCCATGTATTGGGAATTTCATGATCCCAACTGACTTTCATATTTTTCAGACGGGTTGGTATACCACCAACCAGTCATTGGTTTTCAACCATACAAAAGGATACAAAAGGGGACGGTTGGTTGAGATGACCAAGATTTTTGGAAAGGATTGGTTCTCAGCCACCAGATTATCATGGGATATACTACGTATACATAGATACCAGTAATTTATCTATCATTAATATCAAACCAACATAGTTTTTATATTGTTTATATCATTTATATCTTTCAAAAGATGGAATGGAATCATGGAATGGGATTGGGGGGACATTTACCTTATTTTCATTTATATTTATTTTCCAACAGCCACACTGAACCACTGGTCTGATGGCCCCATGGCTACTCCATGGCCTCATGGCTTCGCAGGTGACGCGCTTTGCGCTAGAGAAGGGGAAACCAAAGCCGCTCAACTCAAGGCCCTTCGAGGATTTACCTACGAAAATAGTGAGTTTCAAGAGTTATGTGATGTGATGTTTACCAGAGGGTGTCAGTATAGCTCTGGTAATTTTCATGTCCGGAAAACGATGATCAACCCAATTGCAGGATTGAAACTCAGAAAATTGATGGAAATTGCGCTCTGTTTTTTGGGGAAAGTTTCCGGGAAAATAACGAACTGGAAACCACTGAATTTTCAGGTTCCGAAAATTAAAAAACAAGCCCACATGGGACCTAATTATGGTGCTGGACTCTCTTGCAAAGGCATTGAAGATGTGCTGAAAAAGCACAGATTGAAGCGAAACTCCCCAGTTTTTTGCATTGCAAAAGGAGTGATTTCCAGCGTGTTTGCATCGTTTCACCAGGGGTTGCATGACCCCAGGGTCGTTTTTCTGTCACAGGATCGCCCACCTGCGACGGATCCATGCACACCTGATTGATGCGAAGGGCTCAGCTCGGTTGAACTGGGTTTATATGGATTTATGGCGATTTATGGCGATTTATGGCTAGTTCTTTGGTGAAAACTGGTGAACAATTCACCATGTCAACTCTGCGCCTAGGACTCCGACCAGGAGGAGGATGCAGGTGCAGATTACGCAGACTTTCTTCATGGGTGATGTTTCCGAATGGTTTTCCTAAAATGGGGGGATCCTAAAAACATCCAGAATTGGCTATGATCAATGGGAAAACCAATGGTTGGGGGTGCCCATAGTTTATGATCCCCAAATGGAAATGTTGACAATTGACTTTTCCAAACGGTCGCTGGTGGTGCCGCTGCAACTGATTTGTTTTCCCTGTAGTCTAATCACAATGAATGATATGAATTGATTTGACATATTTTGGTTCACCAACAAAATTGAGGATTGAATCCAGAATCACTGATGAGACGTGGGCATATCATTTCTAGTATGGTTTACTGGGTTTGTTATGCTCCATGATGGGAGTCTCTTCTCTCAACCAACTAGTAGAAGAGTAGAAGCATAGAACAACATTCCAAAACTTGGTTTATTTTGAATGGAATGTTCCAGATTGTTCCAGGAAACAGCATGTTTGGCTGGTAAATTCATGATTTCCTATAGATGTTCCATGATTTTCTCTTAAAACCAAACCAGTGTTCACTGGTTTTTTCCAGGGCTCGGTTGACAGGTGAGCGAGACGAAGAGAATGATGAGATTGCCATGCTCCTTGGTGGCAAACAATAGTGTATCGGTCACCCCGTGGTACTCCTTCATATTTCATGACAATGACCAATGATCATTGCCTGAGAGCTGGAAATTGAATGAAATTGATGTTAGGATATGTTTGGTACGTGTTTTCTATTGTTTTCTCCATATCCTACGAGCTTTCACCATTGTTCACAGAATTTTTGTTCGGAAAATTTGGCCAACCGGGACATCAGTCAGGTTGAGTGCCTACGTTGGAGCCTTAGGATGTGGCGTCACTGGTTGTACTGCTGACCATCCATTGTTTTGCGGCTTCTTGACTAATTACAAACAAGATCCATCATGATCCTCCATGTGCCGTTTGGAAGTTTCTGTGGGGGCCACAGCTGCCTGTATCATGTTGAAACATGTCCCATTTCTCTCGTCGAAATCCCCATTTTTGCTGGGTACATCTCCAGGTTTCATGGTCACATGATGTCACAATGTCACATGTCCCTTTCTGTGGTGACAAAATCTCATATGTTTTTTGCTGGCTGGCTAGATTCGGCTAGATCATCGATTCACTCGATTCTTTGATGGCTAAGCAATCTTCTTTTCCAAAGAACATGGTTACCAGTAGCAGCAGCATTTGTTACCATATGAGTAACCGAAAAAATATTGTCATACAATATAATTATATATAATTTAGTTTTGCTTCACTTTGGCCTTTCCGAGGCTGCACAACACCTTCAATAACCGATAGGGGACGACCATGGACGATAGCCCATAGGGGTGTGATCCCTCCGGGATGACTGACATCCGATAAACATGGGCCGCTCATATGTAGCCATACCAAGTACCCTCTGGTTATGTCAACAGTTTGCTATTGAAGCCATGGCCATAGAAATAGTGAGTTTTCCCATTAATAGCATGGTGGATCTTTCCATAGTTATGTAAACGTTTACCAGGCCGGGTATATGGATTTATGGTGAACTCCATGGGTTTTCCAGGGCATCCCCCAGATCCAAGGGATCCAAGGCTCCGAAGATGGCGACTCGGGTGGAGGATGACTCGGATGTCCTCGCTGGTGTCTGTGACTGGCCCTTCGGCTCCAACGGTGAGTCGTCGAGTCGTCGAGTTCTGGGGAATTGATGACCATGGATTTACTTGGAAGCCAAGGCAGGCAGATGAGAATTATATAGGACCATCATGAACATATATAATCATATAGATATATATTATATTATATTATATATATATATATGTACACATACATAAATATTAGGTTAGCCTGGTGTACATGACGTATGCTTGTTTTCCAATGAATCTGGAGACGGTCTTTTTTTTCCATCGTGCAGTCTGGTCACCGGACGATGAGAGGTGGAGGCATCTTCATGTGCCGGAAGATCAGTGTGGAGCCCAAGATGATCCGGCTGATGGGGAGTTGACCAGCAATATTGGGAATCTGCAGATATCTGCAGCAACCAATGATCAGATCGTTTCCCCAAAACGCAAAAAAAAGTAAGAAGCGTGAGATAGCCAATGATCTTCAAATCTTGATAGATCTATTCCATGTTTGTTCCATTACTTATACTATAGTTAGAAAAAACAGCGGCTGTTCTTGAAATTGGATGATCCCGACATCAGCTGTGCTTAGGAATGATGGTTCATCGGCCGCCCTTGATGAGGTCGAAGATGCCAATGGCTGGACATGTTTAGTCAGTAAAATCCTCCTTTCCATTTTTTTGGGGGGAAACATGCTGAAACCGTGTTTTTTTGGATACCATCGGACCAGGGTGAAGCCTTCGGGCACCAATACTTGACGAATTTGATATCTGACAAATGTGTCCTGAGTTATGATTACAGAGCAGTAGAAGGTCTCAGGAGAGATCTATACATACTCTCTTCGGAACCATATAGCAAAGAACTGAGACAGATAAGGGATAAACCATGATGAACCGCAAAAAAAAAAAGGATTTCGGAGATATTCAGGGATCATTTTGCCATCTCCCATTGATCTCCCATTGATCTCCCATTGATCTCCCATTGATCTCCCCCATTTCGCCAACCCACGGGACCTGAAGACAGCCGGATCCTCGCGGCAGATGCGCTTCAACCAGTTGCAGGAGGTGGAAGACATCAAGAGAGTTTTTTCGGCCAGGAGGGATGGAGAATCTTGGGAAATCTTGGGATGAAAAGCCTGAAAAACAATGGGAGTGAAATTGATGAAGAGTTTTATGATCGAACTTGACATTCATTGGGGTTTGGCTGGTATTTGGGATCGTAAATTATGGGAATAAAGTCCGATTCCGCAACTTCTCCGGATTGCGCAACTAGGATTGCGCAACTCTTTGGTCGGATTGCGCAACTGGGATTGCGCAACTTGGCTTGCGCAACTCCCAGGATTGCGCAACTCCGTTTGCGCAACTAGATTGCGCAACTCTGATTGCGCAACTGCTTTTGACAGCTTGCGCAACTTCCAGGATTGCACAACTAGGATTGCGCAACTCTTTGGTCGGATTGCGCAACTTGGCGTCCGCAACTCCCAGGATTGCGCAACTCCGCTTGCGCAACTTTAAGGATTGCGCAACTCTGATTGCGCAACTCTGGTTGCGCAACTCTGAATGCGCAACTCCTAGGATTGCGCAACTCTGCTTGTGCAACTGCGCTTGCCGGATTGCGCAACTCTGCAACAACACTTCCTCCAAACAATTCCAGCACCCATAGAATTTGAAAATGACACGTGCCGTCCACAAGAGCAAGACGTTATCAAAATTCCCACCTCCATGGAACTTCAAACTGACTTGGAGTCTCCACAAGGCTAAGATGATGTCAAAATTCTCACCTCATGGAACTTCAAACTGACTTGGAGTCTCCACACGGTTGGGATGATATCAAAATTCCCACCCCCATGGAACTTCAAACTGACTTGGAGTCTCCACAAGGTTGGGATGATATCAAAATTCCCACCCCTATGGAACTTCAAACTGACTTGGAGTCTCCACAAGGCCAAGGTGATATACAAATTCTCACCCCCATGGAACTTCAAACTGACTTGGAGTCCCCACAAGGTTGAGATGATATCAAAATTCAAACTGACTTGGAGCCTCCACAAGGTTAAGATGATATCACAATTCCCACCCCCATGGAACTTCAAACTGACTTGGAGTCTCCACAAGGTTAAGATATGTCAAAATCACCACCCCCATGGAACTTCAAACTAACTTGCAGTCTCCACAAGGTTAACATGATATCAAAATTTCTTCGCCCATGGAACTTCAAACTGACTTGGAGTCTCCACAAGGTTAAGATGATATAAAAATACCCACCCCCATGAAACTTCAAACTGACTTGGAGCCTCCACAAGGTTAAGATGATATCAAAATTCCCAACCCCATGGAACTTCAAACTGGCTTGGGGTCTCCACAAGGTTAAGATATGTCAAAATTCCCACCCCAATGGAACTTCAAACTGACTTGGAGTTCCCACAAGGTTAAGGTGATATTAAAATTCCAACCCCCATGGAACTTCAAACTGACTTGGAGATTGCACAAGGTTAAGATGATATCAAAATTCCCACTTGCATTGAACTTCAAACTGACTTGGGGTTTCCGCAAGGTTAAGATGATATCACAATTCCCACCCCCATGGAACTTCAAACTGACTTGGAGTCTCCACAAGGCTTAGATGATGTCAAAATTCCCACCCCCATGGAACTTCAAACTGACTTGTAGTCTCCACAAGGTTAAGATGATATAAAAATTCCCACCCCCATGGAACTTCAAACTGACTTGGAGTCTCCACAAGGCTAAGGTGATATCAAAATCCCCACTCCCATGGAAGTTCAAACCGACTTGGAGTCTCCACAAGGTTAAGATGATGTCAAAATCACCACCCCCATGAAACTTCAAACTGACTTGGAGTCTCCACAAGGTTAAGATGATATCAAAATTCCCACCCCCATGGAACTTCAAACTGACTTGGAGTCTCCACAAGGTTAAACTGATGTCAAAATCCCCACCTCCATGGAACTTCAAACTAACTTGCAGTCTCCACAAATATCAAAATTCCCACCCCCATGGAACTTCAAACTGACTTGGAGTCTCCACAAGCTTCCTGATCTGTCTTCAGAGGTTCGCAGTACCCGTGGACCAATCTCCACCTCAAGTTCACCATCTCCCTGCAAAGTTTCACAATCCCAGTTTCACTATCCGTCCCCAGAGTTTCACAATCTGTCTTCAAAGTTTCACAATCCCAGTTTCACAATCCGTCCCCAGAATTTCACAATCCGTCTTCAGAGTTGCACAATCCCAGTTTCACAATCCGTCTGCAGAGTTTCACAATCCAACGGGCAAGTTTCACAATTCAAGTTGCACAATCTGTCCGGGAAGTTTCACAATCCGACCGGGAAGTTTCACAACCCGACGTTGACCCAATGGTGCCAAAAAAGGCATTTTGAAATGCCGACGGCAGAAAAAAATCCGCTGCATGCTCTGTGTCAAACAGATTTATATAGCATTAACTAGCATTGTATAGTGATGAAACTGTTGGAAAGTTTGGGTTTGGATTATATAATCGAAATGATCTAAGTTCTGCAGTTTTCACCAAAGGTCCAGTAGTTTTAACCAGATGTCCAGTGGTTTTCACCAGATTTCTAGTGGTTTTCACCAGAGTTCCTGCTTCTTGTTGTTTCCTTTAAACATGTTTATCATCCCTAAACAAAAGGAAGGCTGGGCCCCAAGGATGCCAAAATGTTGACTAACACATACATTTTGATAGCACACCTACATACACCTACGTCACCTACTGTACTTCAAGTATATTTATATACATGTAATTAAATGTATGTGTTTTTTCAAATATCATATAATAATCATATAAACAATATACATTGAAGTATACCGTATTTATACTCATTTGTTCTAATATCATCCATACATGATATACATGACATTTTGTTGTTTTCCTTCGGCAGGAGCGTCCCGCTGAACGTCCCGATCTTGGAGCGAGCATTGGTGATGCCCGCGCACAAGATGAATGTTTGGAGCTGAGGGGAGAGGTTTGGCATTGGAGCGGAGCTGCGTAGAAGTTTTATGACTAAGAAATGACAAAAAACATGAATTTAAAAATATGTTCAAACTATAGAGGCTATAGAGAATTCAAAAGTGGATAGTTGAAGTGTTGAGGCAACAAACATGGAGACATAATATGACATAATCATGTTTTGAAAAACGCCTACTGGGCATGATAAAGGGGGCATTTTTGAGTATGGTGAGAGTCTGTTGGCTCCTACCAGTCCAAGGTAGGCCTGGAAACCAAACTGTTCAATTTCAATTAGATTGGTATATTTGGGATTTAGATAGATATATATATATAAACATTATATTTGGGATATTTTGACTGGCACTTGAACTGGCGATTTATTTTTTCAACGTTTGGGAGTTGAAGTTCAGGATAGCTATCGGGGAGAGATGGTGTGCTAGTTCATTTATATCATGGTTGTGGCCTCAAGCACCAGATCATGGCGATGAATCCCAATTCCCTTGAAAACTCTAGCTGTTGGTTGATTGGAATCCACATATTTCGTTGCTGATACCCTTGGGCAATCCAACCTGGAAATGCGTTCTATCCCTTACTTGACATCTATGATACGCGGACATCATGTTACATCCATAGATATATGTTTATTGGTGTAATGGTGTTGTAAAGCAGGCATGGGGATAGTCATATCGTGAAACAATCATGCTGTACATGATTATCACCATTTAACAACCATTTATTTATTTATTTATTTAGAATTCACACTTACAAAATGTAAATATAATCCGTAAAAGTTGGGGTGTCCTGCCATGTTTACCAACTTTTACAGGATTTGTTCATGGAAGGTGTCCCAGAATTTGAGAAGATTTTAGGGTCTCAGAGAGTTTCAAGCGTAGATTTTCCCAACCAAATTGTTGAATCAATCCAGGATTCCAATGGCATGGGCTGAATGTCCATACCCCAAAAAAATATGTAAAAGAGAAAGTTTCATGTCTCGACCATGGCACAGAAAAATGAACAGTGGTTAAAAATCAGGTGCATAATTCACAGTTACCCGCTGGTAATTTAACATAGCTATTGAACATACCCCATTTATAGTTGATTTACCCATTCAAAATGGTGATTTTCTATAGTTATGTAAACGTTTACCAGAGGGTAAATGCCTTTTTTTTTTTCTTCACATATGTATTTTCCTATGTTTTTGGCTGGTGAAGCCACCTTTTTTTTGTTGGTTGAATCCCATCTGCGGCCTAGCCGGGTCATCTCAATGGCATCTACCTGGTGAATACCAAACCGTTGCTTGGCGCGCCAAAAAGGTGGTTTTGACATGGGAAAATCATGGGATACTGCTGGAAAATCCATGAACATCATAGGAAAATGTTGGAAAATCATAGGAAAATGTTGGAAAATGAATGAACATCCTCTATAACATGGAGGTTTATAGTAAAACATCGAGTTGTGAATATGGGATGTCCAATTGCTATGTTTCATGACACCAGAGGGTTTCCCATAACTCGGGTCTCCATGAGCAGAACTTAGAGATGTCCATGGATATCATAAGTATGGTACCCTCTGGTGAACTAACATAGCTATGGAAAATCACCATTTATAATAGGTAGATCAACTATAATTGTGCCAATTTTCATAGTTATGTAAACGTTTACCAGAGGGAAATATGATAAGTTGGATGGTTTGTTGATTTCTGTTGAACTGGATACAGGTGGAGGTTGTTTTTCGTGGAAAAATCAGGGCCCACGGCCCTTTTTTGGGGAACTACCGGGCCTGCAAAATTGATCATCCCATCCTCTTTCTGTGATTTTTTCTCTGTTTTTCTGGGGAAGATTGGGGATGTGATTTTCTCTGTTTGGGACCCCGGGGTCCCCTGAAATTGTCCGATTCGCAAGGCCCGGGGGTCCGAAAATCCCTGGATTTCGACCAAGGGACTTGCTTTCCAATCCCTTCATCGCCTGGGCCTCAGCTACCCTCTGGTGATGTCAACAGTTTGCTATTGAAAATGGCCATAGAAATAGTGGATTTTCCCATCAAACATGGTGATTCATGGTTGATTTTCCAATAAAAATTGGTGGTTATCCATAGTTATGTCAACGTTTACCAGAGGGTATGGGATGGATCCAGGGCTGAATTCTACAAACCCAGGCGGCTTGTGGAGCTCAGGCGAAGAAGAAAAAGAAACTCAAGAAGAAACGCAAGGGTGGTGTGTGGGCCTTGGACATGATCAACTGCAGCTAGTTAAGCTAGAAAAGATGTGGGGATATGCAAGCAAAGACCCCAACCAAGATTGGCTGATGTCTGGCACTTCAACTATCATCAACCACTATCAACTATCATCAGCTGTTGTCACCTATCATGAACTCCCGTACCTCAAAAACGATCATCAATTCTCATCAACTATCCAGTTTTGGTAGATTTCCATACATCACATATATATATAGTTAAATTAAATAAAAATGTATTGTAGTGTATTGTATTGTATTGTATTATTATGTTATTTTGTTAGTTTATGTTATATTATATTGTAGTACATTGTATTGTATCATATTAGGTTGTATTATATACTTTTATATTATATCATATTATACTATATTATAGCATAGTATATAATATTATTCTACATTATATATATTTAATATATATATATATATATTTAATATATATATATATTATATTATATTATATTATATTATATTATATTTTAGTATAGTATAGTATAGTATATTACATGTTTGATATTATATTATATTATATTATCTTATATTATATTATATCGTGTTATATTACACCATATCATCTTATAATTATACTATAGTTTATTGTATTATGTTATGTTATATTACACTATATATTACAATTATCATGTTTATATCGTATCATTATATCGTGTATATATATATCCATGACATTCCATGACCACTTATGGCTGGGTTCGGTTCTATGGCCTGCACTGAATGAAGGCCAAGAAAGGCAACAAGAAGTCGCGCGGAACATCGGCCAAAGGCGGCCTTTTGTTTGGGCCGTTGCCTGGTTCCATTTGCGGACATTGAGAGGGACATCATATGACATGATATATACTTATTATGACATTTTGGAAAGTACATTATATATGAAATTGTATATACTTATATAGTACATTACAGTACATTATGACATGATATGTCATGATACTGTATGACATTTGGAAGTGAAAATATGTTTTCACCACAACAATCTGTACGCCTCTGGTTCTGTAGATCACCTGTTCAAAAAATCGATCCCTTGCCGGTGCAGGCAAGAAAAAGTGACCACGGCGTGGCGACTCGGGACCGGAGGAACCTCCCGCGCGATGGCAGAGCTAAAGTGGTCAATGGATGTTTGTGCCAAACGGATTTCGTTTGGAAAAGTGTTTGGTACATTTTGGTACACTGTCACATGGGTGTCATGGTGATGTATACTTAGCAGCTATTCCAATAGTTCATCTGCCGTGAACTGCAAAAGTCCCTTGGATCTCGGAGGGAATTCAAAGATCGATTCCTCCTTTAAAGCTGCGTGCAGAGAAGGAAACGAAGATGGTGGCACGAGGGAGAGAGAGTGGGACTGCTGGGAGAAATTCTTGAAAATGATCGATGGCAAGTGCCTACTCCATGAGATCCCCTCACACAACTGTGACATCCCCTCAGAAGATATACCATGGATCCATGGATCCTTTTTGATCCTTTTTAAAAGGATCACAACTCTGAAGATCTTCCATGGAGGACATGGATCATCTTAGATCATCTATCATCGGTGTTTTCTGCCTGGCTCAAGCCTACCATCTGCTGAAATCCACTGAGCAAAATCATGCCTTGGAGCAGAATTGAAGAGGTAGCCAGAGCTATCAGAACACAGCACATCCCGGCGCTTGTAGGAAAGCAAGCTGCATTTCTGAGTCGAGTGGTGACTTGTAGAAGGCGTGATTTTTTGGCCTAAATTTGAAGTTTTTCTCTTGGCATCTTTCGTTCTCGTGATCTCCAAACTAGACTTTCCACAGCTAAACTCTTCGAAGGATCTCCAAAAACATGTACAGCCATATCATATGGTATAATTATATCATATGGAATAAATATATCATATGGTATTATCTCATGATATTCATCATGATTATCTAATGATATAGCCATGATCCAATGGATATATATTCATCATTTTCTGTCCCATGAATGGTGCCATGGAAGACCCTCCTGGGGCCTATCCTGATGGCAAGCCAGGGACCCAGGTCTGGAGCCTCAGAGCCGATTTTAGAAGCAACGATTGGATTTAAGATGATTACCCTCTGGTAAACATTCACAGTTTGCTATTGAAGCCATGGCCATAGAAATAGTGAGTTTTCCCATGAAAAATGGTGGATCTTTCCAGTTCGTTATGTGGTCACGTGAATATACCAGAGGGTAATTAAAGCATATTTAAGCAATAAATTGTTGGTTGATTGAAGCACATTTTTTCGGATACCATCCAAGTATGGGATGGGATTGTACAATGAAGTTGGGTATGGCTCACGGGGTACCACTGGACCCGCAAAGGGTTAGATACAGCTTTCGTATCTGACCATCCGCATGTCAGGGCTGGACCCGCCGAGATTTTTAGACTCAAATGCACCACACAACGCCAAACATCACCAAATAAAACCGTATGTCAGGAGCATTTGTAGATTTTTAGCTGACACTCTTTCTTTTGCTGGACCCCTTAACCAAAACAACGGATGTGCTGAATCTGAATTCACTGGTTGATGAAAAGGGGAGGGAGCTGTTTTTCCGTATTTCACAACCAATGATGATGGATTGAAATGAATACATATATATGTATGCATCGTGTTTGGCAGGCACTGGGTGTGCATTATCATTAGGGTGAGTATGTAAGCTGATGAATCCATTTTGGCTCAAGTCTGAGCCAAACTGGCTTCATCGTTCTTTCTTTTTGCTGGGGTACCCACGCCACTTCTAGGGAGTTACCCTAGGTTCAGTGGTTTCTCGTTCCTCTACTAGGGCGTTACCCTAGAGTACAGAGGTTCGAAGGTGGGAGGTCACCCCCCCGATGCCAAGGGCCTCCATCGTCGTTCGGCCCGGTTGGAATGAGGCTGCCCACACGGATGTGGAGCTGCTTCATGCGGCGGCCTACTACGAGTTCAAGACGCACGTGGAGGGCCTACTCCAGCAGGGCTTGGTGGCAGAGGCCACCCGGTTGTGGGCTTCTGTGTGCCAAATTGACCATTTCCCCCCACATCCAATTGGGTTGGGGGTGCAGGGACTTCCCCCTTTCAGACGGTCACCTTGTATGGAAGAAAACTGTAGGAGGTGTACTGAGTATCAGGGAGGATTCAAGTTCCCTTGGATCGGCACATGGAACAGCTCAGCTGTCTTGGCTCTGCCCGGGAGTGACCCGCGGCGTGCGTGGCAATCCTACTATGATCGACTGGGCGAGGCGAAGCTGGATTTGCTACTCATCGAGCCGCTGCGGACTCATTGGACGGCTCGGGACTTTGCGCCGGACAACATCTTTGGTTTGGTCGCCTTCATCGAGCACAATGCCGATAGCATGGTCGACCTCACCGAACTTTGGGATGTGTGGAGGACCTGGCAATCCCCACAGCGTGGATGGAGGGACCCATCCCTGGTGCCCATCCCGGCTGACCTGGTTGCGTGGAGAGCACCACGGGCCAGAGCAGTTCGGTCGTTATGGGGTTGGCTTGGTGCCATGGAGGCTGGGGAGGAACCCTTGCCACCTTGCAGGGCTTGTGGACTGCCGACACCTGAGCTCTGTGAGCGATGCTTCTCCTCTGTGTGCAGTACCTGTCCACCCTCCCAGTGTCCAGGATGTCACCCCGTCTTGCGTCGAGACCCATCTGCAGCAGCTGCGGCCTAGTGATGTTTGTTTGTTACCTGATGATACTGAGGTGTGGTCTGCAGTTTCAGGCCCAGCCCGTACGCTCCGAACCTTGGCGGCGGTGGTGTCAGGCGTCGCCATGGCATACCACCCAGGAGCCTATGCGGTGCAGGCTGCTGGTGAGGCTCCACCTTGTGCAGAGACGGCGATGGAGAGGGTGGCATCCACCCGTGTTGAACAGTGGCGAGCTCAATGGGGACTACATGATGAGACTGACTTCGCCTATGCGTTTGCATCCTATGACAGCGCAGTGGCACATGGAGGACACCATGTGGCAGATGCGTGGTTGCAAGCGCGCTCCAAAACTGCCGAAGCTGACCTCATCCCTCAAGCGGCTGCCGTGGCTGAGAGCCCGGGCTCCAGAGATCGGCCAACGACATGGCCTGCGCCCAAGGCGTCCATGATGAAGAAGAGCAAGATGGTCCAAGCTCTTCGAGTCCGGCCAGGCCCAGACCAACCAGAGACGGTGCTGCTGCGAGCTGCGGCATTGAGGAAGGCCTTCTCTCAAGCCAAGGTCATGCGTCCTCAAGGGGAGTTGACCCCGGAGAAGTACGCTCAGTGGCAAGACGCTCTGGATACTTTGTCTAAGCGGAAGGTCACAGAGGCCGAAGGAGCGACGGTGGTGAATGCCCTGAAGTCCTGGGCTGAGTTGCGGGCCTACATGGAGCAGAAGGACCGCTTGTTCCCGCCGGATGCATTGGACCTCTATGGCTTCTTGCAGAACGGCACGTCGGGGCCTTACCGAGCCTTTCACTCCTTGAAGTGGTTCTCCAAACATGGCCGGTTGCAATGGGACTTCAGTGATGTACCAGTCCCAGCTCGTAAGAATCCACCCAAACAGGCAAACCCAGAACAGGCTGTGGCAGTTGAGCCCCCAATGATTGCAGCGCTTGAAGAGAAGATTCAATCGTTGTACGAAGCCGGGGACCCGCGTTGGAGGGGCTTGCTGTCCAGCTGGCTGGTTACCTTTGGTGTCCTGAGATACCAGCACATCATGCGTGCCAGGCCAGTCAAAGTGACCCCCAGCTCCTTTCATGGCTACTGCACGAAGGGGAAGCAGAAGGCCAACAGGGGCGGGTTCTCCTTCAGCATTCCGGCTACATTCGTTAATGGATGGGCTTGGGGCTCGGCCTTGTTCAGGGACTACAGCAGTCTGGATAAGACTAAGCAAGCCGCTTCAGGGTTATGCTTTGATGCGGAGGGCACCGCATACACATTGAAGTTCGTCAACGAGCTCAATCGTGAGGTCTTTGAGCACTTGGTCCAGAATACAGAGGATTTGTCTTCCTACTCCTGGCGACGAGCAGCACCTACAGTGGGCACTTTGATGAAGCTGACGCCTCTCGAGCTATGCTCACTGGGGGACTGGGCAGATCGTTCCCAGATCCCGAAGGAGGCGACAATGCCTATGCACTACAGTGCAGCCAGGTATGAGTCTTCGCTGAGGACCAAGCACATTGTGAGGCTGGCTATGGAAAAGCTGCTTGCCCATGAGTCATGGGAGACCATCCCTACGGAGACCTACGCTGAGGCCCTGGAGTATGCACGCCAGAACGTGGACAAGGTGCTGAAGCAGGAATCCAGGGTCATTTGGGCAGCTCCTTTGACAAAGGCTGAGATGCAGGCGCGTTTTCAGCTGTCAGAGGCTCTCAAGCTCAAGGCTGCGGCCAAACGAGAAGAGGCACAAGCCAAGGGTGGCCTGTCTGCGATGCCGGCATCTCTCAATGGGAAGGTGCTGAGCGCATTCATGAAGAATGGAGCACCCATTTGTGGAGCTTTTCAGACAAGGTCTTGCCCCTTGGAGAAGGAGGCGTGCCCTGGTCGCCATGCATGCGCCATTCTGCGCAAAGCTGGACGAGTTTGCGGTGGAGGCCATCCGGCATGTGAATGCCACGACAAGAAGTTCATCAAGGTGGAGGAGATGGCTGGCGAAGGGCCTGGTTCGGGATCTGCTAAGGCCAAGCCTACTAGCAAATCCACGGAGGAGCGACCTCCGGAGCCAGCTGCCCCTCCTAAGGCGTCAGTGAGGCGCCCACGGTCCCCACAAGGGCCGCCGTCTAAGGCACCGCCAGCGAAGAAGGCCAAAGCAGCCCCAGCTCCACCTCCAGCGCCATTGCCAGCCCTGGAGACCAGTTCGGAAGAGGAAGAAGTCGAAGTCGAGGAGGAGGACCTTCCGATCCCAGAGGCACTGGATACTCGAGGGCCCGACCAGAAGTTCGACAGGTTGGCGACAGTCCATGGCAAGACGGCGGAGAGCCCGAGCCTTATTTATCAGAATAGGGCAGGGGGCAAGCTGTGGCTGAGTGGAATTCCAACCAAGAACACGGCAAACCGCTTTCCAAAGGGAGTTACCCTTCAGATTGCGTGCATGGCCGAAGCCCCATCATCCAGAGGAGGAGTGGTGCTCACAGATGCCCTCTTGAAACACCTGTGTGTGGCCCATGGTGGTTCCAGGAACAGGGACTTCGAAGAAGTCTGGCCTTTGCTGCGCAATACGATGTATGCAGGCGAATCGGCCCTGATCCATTGCCTATCAGGGCGCCATCGAGCAGGTATTGGGGGCTGTGTGTTCCGTGCGCTGCTAGCCCAGGAGAGCTGGGATGTTGCAGTGGCCTACGTGAAGAGCTGCAGGCGCTCGTTGGACATCCCGGGGATCATCCATGAGGCGGGGATGAGGTCGTGGGTGGACACGACTCT